GTGATTTTATGTATGGGTTCTGGGGCCTCATTGCCCACCTATGAACCCTGGCTCTGCCATTTTCTAGCTCTGACTATGGAATTAGAAAGGCTATGGGATTACACTGGTTTCATTTGCATTATTCTCTCTTACTTAATTGAAATGATTTAAGGGGTAGCCTACCACTTGACAGACTCCCACTCTGCATCCACATGACTAAAAAGCTTCTCAAATTTAAAATATTTAAACAACAATCATAATCTGCCAATCTCTACTGGGTCTTTCCCAGTGTTCTTGACATTAGTAAGTGGCACAAATACTCACTGATAGAAACCAAAACCTATGGATCATTAAACTTTTACTTTTTTTACTTCAAACATCTAGTACCTCAACAAATATTATAGACTCTGCCTTTCAAACATTTCTCAAAAGTAACCTTTACTCACTATATCCATCATTTTTACTCCAGGCTAATCTATATTTTATCTCTTGCCTAGACCACTGCTAGCTTCCAGCTTCCATTCTTTTTCCCACTCCAAACTTCTTTAAGAGTCTATTATACACATAGCATTAACATAATCTTTTCATAATAAAAATGAAACCATATCATTTTTGTATACTAAATATTAAATATGTAAGGGCTTCCCATCACTCTCAGAATTGATTACAAATTCAACAACAAACAAATACACAAGCAAACCATCCTATGTGATCTTGTTCTTGGCCGTGACTGTGACCTCACTTCTATCCCCTGATGGCCTTCCCTTGACCTCTTCATCCACATGGCCCATCTTGCTGTCCCTCAAACCTACAAAGCATGTTTCTACCTCTGTGCTTTTGTACTTGAATGTACTTTCCTCAGATGTTCACATTAATTCACATCCCTGACCAGAGAAGCCTTCCCTTACCACTTCCTTCAAAACATTCCTTCCCTGTTTTTCCTTATTATTTATCCTGCAATATTATTCCTTTAAGCCACTTATAACTAACTGGTATTAATTAATAAATTCTGAATCCTTTACTAAAATACAAGCTATGTGATGATAGAAACTTTGCCTGTCTTATTGACTAGCTCATTCCCAACACTTATCATAGTCACTGACACTTAGAAATTGATGATTAAATATTTTTTGAGCAAAGCATAAAGGGCTACACGATGTCCAAGAAAAAGCGGATTACTAAATTCTCATATAGCTCAGATTTGAAAGATTTTATTTGCATGTTTTCCTCAAATATAGATTCAGAAAGAAAGTTTTTTTTTTCCTATGTTATGAAGTTTTGTAGAAACAACTATCATCTTGGCACATACTAAGTTTCAGTAAATATAAGTGAGTGAGTTATTATGCTATTCATGGTTGGCACTCAATATTTGACAGATAAATGAATGAGTGAATGAAAGGTGTATTGGCAAAATAAATAAAATATTGTAACTATGAAGTAAAGAGGAAATATACCAAGTTAAATATTTACTGAATTAAAGCAAAGCTAACTATTTGAAATGCCTATATCCTTCAGTGTAATCAAGCAATTATGGAAAAGAAATGTCCAACCATTTATGAGGTGTTTGGTTTTGGTTTAATTTTCTTGTATCTAACAAAGAATATGATCAGAAAGACCAGGTGAGACAAAGATTGATATAATAGGGCAATGGAATTTGCTATATCAATAATCTCCAGAATTTTAGTAGATTAAAAATAAATTTATTTTTCATTCACACAAAGTCCAAGTGAATGTTTCTGATTTCAGATATTCTCCTTCAAATAGAGATTTAGTGAGTGACCTGAGCTGCTTCCTCCTTATGGCTCCCTATCTTCTTTTTTTTTTTTTTAAACTAAATCTGCCAAGATATTTTACTATTTATTTTTTAAATTATTTTTTTGTTTTTGTTTTTGAAACCTTTTTTAAATTAAAATTTATTGAGATAACAATGGTTAACCAAACTACATAGGTTTCAAGTGTACAATTCTACAATACATCATCTATATATTGCATTATGTGTTCACCACCCAGAGTCAGTTCTCTTTCCATCACCATATATTTGATCCCCTTTACCTTCTCCTACCATCCCTCTTACCTCCCTTACCCTGTGGTAACCACTAAACTATTGTCTGCATCTGAGTTTTTGTTTATTTGCTTGTCTTGTTCCTTCGTTGCCTTCAGTATTTCACATATGAGTGAAGACATATGGTTCTTGATTTTTTCTATCTGACTTATTTCACTCAGCATAATAATCTCAAGATGCATTCAGATTGTCACAAATGCCAGTATTTCATCTTTTCTTATGACAGAGTAGTGTTCTATTGTGTGTATATATACCACATCTTCTTTATCTAATCATCTATCAAAGGACACTTTGGTTGTTTCCATGTCTTGGCCACTATAAATAATACTGCAATGAACATTGGAGTACATATATCTTTACAGATAAATATTTTCAGATATTTTGAGTAGATACCCAGGAGAGGGATTGCTAGGTCATATAGTAATTCTATTCTTAATTTTTTGAGGAAACTCCATACTGTTTTCCACAGCGGCTGTACCAATTTACATCCCCACCAACAGTGTACAAGGGTTCCTTTCTCTCCACAGCCTCTCCAGCACTTGCTATTATTTGCTGTACTGATGATAGCCACTCTTAACTGGTGTGAAGTTGTGATTTTGATTTGCATTTTCCTAATAGCTAGTGAAGTTGAACATTTTTTCATGTACCTGTTGGCTGTTTCTATATCTTGTTGGGAAGTTTCTGTTCATTTCCTCTGCCCATTTTTTAAATTCAGATTGTTTGTCTTTTTTGTTGTTGAGTTGTATGAGTTCCTTATATATTTTGGATATTAGCCCCTTATCAAAGGCATTCTTTGCCCTATCTTTACACGTGTTTTCAGAAGTCACCACGTAGGGAAGAGGCTGGAGATTCACACATAGAAGATTATTTTGGATCAATTGGAAAGTAGCATACTTCATGAGCATTCACATTTCATTGCTTAGAATTAAGTCACATGCTCACACGTAAACAGAAGAGTGACTGAGACATGTAATCTAAGAGGATGAGGAAATTAGTAAGCTTTGCCAGTTCAAGATTTAACTAAGGGAAAATATAGGAGCTTGTCTAAAATAAATTGTGTTGCAATACACACACACACACACACACACACAGAGAGAGAGAGAGAGAGAGAGAGAGAGAGAGAGAGAGAGAGAGAAAGTTTAAATAAAATCTATTTGGAAGAACATTTAATTTTAAAAAAGGTCATGATTTGAGTTGCTAGTACCTGGGAATATAACAATGTGTTTGTTTCTTTGTTTCTTTGTTGTTTTTTTTATCATGCTAAAGATAGGGAAAAAATCTCCTTTGAAAGTTAAACTCTGAGAAAAGCACATGATGGATGTAAGCCTAGGCAAGCAACATAGGAAAGAAAAAAGTATGGCTTCCTGGCTGCTAGTCCTAAATGTCACCTGGAAGAATGAATGTATTAACATGTCAAACAATATAATAGTGGACATTATTAGAGAACATATCAGAATCGTAGAGACAAATGCTGGCATTGCCAATGTAAAGTTGAGTAAGGATAGATAGCTTTAATCAAGGTACATCAAGTATTCCATTCTTATGGCAATATCTTAGTGTGATGTCATTAAGGATTCAAATTACCTAGTTTTACATGTTCTGGTCTAATGAACATCAAGGATACCTGTGATTCTTGTGCAGCCATGCTCACATGGAGAGAACTTGTTGATCTTGGGGTCTTTGAGGATCCTTTAACCCTTTGATGATGAGTTCTCAAGGTAGCTAATCACGGCTTCTGATTGTTATTCAATTGGAAAATGCTGACTATGACATGCAAATATTTATGAGCTGTATAGCAGCTACCTTTTCACTATAAATTAGTATATTGGCATTCTGGTCTCTGTCCTAGTTTTGTGTGTGTTTTCATTAATCTATCAAGTCTTCTCAGGGTTTGCTACTTACCCTTAAATGTAGAAAAGGACAAATCTCTTGGTCTTAAAAGTTTGGAATCATAATACATATTTTTTTCTTGTTTCTTTTTCTATCACTTCTAGTTTTACTTTTTACTATTTTTCTACATGTTAGATTTTTAAAGCAGTTATGTAACATCAAGAATCCTCTGACCTTTATAAATACATTCAGGTGTGAGTTGAAAGTGAATAGAGAATATAACTGTGAAACAAGAAACAAAGGATAGCTAAAGCAAAATTTACATTTTGTGCAAATTAGATACAATCTTGGACAAATACCAGAACAGTGAAGCCTATTGAATATGTCTTCAGTGTTAGAAAATGCATGTATTTGTATTTTAAAATAATATTTGAATTGCATTTTCTTAAAGTTCAAAATGCTTCAAAAAGTATAACTTATTTTTAATTCTACATTTAAAGGAGAATCCCCTGATTTATTTGCACTTATGCTTGTATCACAGTTCTCTTTCCTCTGAGCTACAAACAGTTTCTTTAAGTGGAAATTATTTTATAAGTATGTGTATGGCAGAAATAGGTTATTCACATCAAACTAAAACATAAAAGCAACACTGATCTGTAAGCCAATACAAGTTAAAATGATTTGAACATCCCAAGAAAATGTTTTCAAATTATCTGTGGTAGATACTATGTTTTATATTAGATTCCAAATAAATATGACATTTAGAGTAGAAAAGTTTATACTTTTAATGGAGCTTTTAGATCCATATTGACTACCATACAGTAGAAATTCTTCGCTGGAAAATAAAATATTTGCAAGGCAAATGTAAAATAGTATTTTGACTTAAAATTAAAGGAATCAGGACTAAATTTAAGCATTTAATTGAGCATATCCAAATTTGAAAAATTGAATTAATTTTGAAATATAGATAAATTTTACTGTAGAGATTTTATTTTCAAACAAAATAAGGCAATAATTTGAGGCATTTAATATGACTATGAAAATGCAAATGACCTCACAACTAACTTAAAAAGTTCTCTCTCACAGACAAAGAAACTGTGAGCTTAATTATGGTGATTATTGTTTGCAGACATGCTCCATTGGGCTTCTTTGTGGTGATGAAATAAGGAGAATTAGCTGTTTATCTCCCATTTCTCAAAGAACAGATGCCATTTCTACACAAACATATACAGTGCCTACTTCTGAGACTTCAATCAGTAGCTTTCCATCTGCAAGAGCTACAAGACTATGGACCATAATGAATACTTATACAGTTGATCAAGGTAAGTACTTGAGATTAAGATATGGAGAAGTTTGAATTTGAAAAAGCTGTGTATTGAAAGATATTTTCTGACATTTATTTTTCTAACATACTTGATATATCAGGGGTGTAAAATTGTCTTAAAATTCTTGTTATATGTCACATTTTAAGTTTGGTTTTAAGAATATTGATGCACTTTGCTAATAAACACTTTTTCTGGAACAGTGCAAAAAAGTTTATTAATACTTTTTTCTGAAATGTAAGTTTTGAAAGATAAGTAGACCCCCAATCCCAGCTCATTTTGTTTTGACTATCAGTAAAGCTTATTTAAGAGGGTTTTATACTACTTGCTTCGTTATGTCTTTATTTATTATCTTCTGAATCATTATATATAAGTTTATATTCCTGTCAATTTATTTAAAAACATTCCTATTTTAAACCATCTTGTTTTTTTATTTTTTCTAATTGTGAAGTATTTTGAAAACTTGAGTATGTTTTGGTATGTCTTATGATTTAATTAATTAAATCAATAGATGCCATATTTTAAATAGCTCATCATATGTTAAATTCTGAATTCACTCTTCCTATATTCACTGTCACTCAGAATAATCAGAGTGAGAATTATAGCTCTTATAAAGGTATTCATTGTCTAAGAAAAATGTTTTTGAAGGCTATTGGATATTATAAGCAGAAATGTAGACTGCTCTATTTTTTTGTCTATATAATTTCTGTTCTTTCAAAGAATTAAGTTGAAATATAATGTTAACTAATATAAAGAATCATTTGCCTATTTAGAAAGTAAAATGATATTTCTAACATTTCTAACCCAATAGGTCAACTATTCATTTATTCTATCAGTGACAAAGAGTTGTAAATGTTCATGTTTTACAATTCAAAGGAGTCACTTAGTTTGTAATATGTCCATTCTGCCTAACACCATTTGTTCTGCCTTTGGAGCTCCCATGGAGTGTGAATAATAGGAGTCTTTGCATTTATGCAGTTTGTATAGTCGCTAAACTTTCTCATATAGTTTTTTATGAAATATGATTTACAAAGCCATATTTAGCTGCATATAATGGGTATGAAATGGCAATGTGATTTGCAGAAGAGTCAGCCCTGGGCCAAAGATGTTCACTTTTAGTTCTTTTGTTTGTTTTTGCTTTTTCTTCTCTGAAGGTCCAAAACAGACAGACATTTTCAAGCATGATGTTCTCCCAACTGCTGGTTTGTCATTGTTAAATATTGGCATATCCTTTGAAAGCTATTTACTTGAAGAACTAATTTCTACCAGAGAGTTTTGCGCAAAAGACTCTTATTTCTTCCACAGATGTTTCCTCTTCTCATTTTCTGATTTTGGGTGTTGATGGCCCAACACAAATTGTCTGGGGCAAAACATCTGTATCACATATGCCTATCCAAACGTCAGTGGTCACACAAGGCTCCTTTATTCTCAGTAGGGGAGAGAGGACCCCATTTATCATCTGTTCCTTAATGACAGATTTTATTTTTCCTACACAGTCTTTACTATCTGAGAATGATCATTCTGTTGCCGTATCTGCTACCATAATGAGCTCAGCAATTAGTCGCATTCCAGGGGCTGATACTGAATTAAACAGACACTTGTTACTCTCCAGTGGATTCCTGCTCACAACAGCTCCCACAAGCGCACCTCCAGTTGTCTCTAGGGGAGCTCAAGAGGATACTGAAGAATATTCAGCTGTTTCTTTAATTCCAAGAAAAAAGTACTAGAGATTGCTGATCTCAATGCCTCCCATTTCTCCTGCTAAGATAATTATATCTAAACAGGTAGCCATCTTAAACTCATCAACCCCACACAGATTTCCTACACAAGCCCCCGTTCCCAGTGAATATCAGGTTATTACTGAAGCATCAAGCAACCAGAGGCTCACAAACATCAAATCACAGACTGCTGATTCTTTTAGTGAATTAAGCCAAACATGTGCAACATGTTCTATGACTGAAATAAAATCCTCTCATAAATTCTCAGATCAAGTTTTGTGTCGCAAACAGTCCCACTTTTATGAGACGTTCTGGATGAAATCAACAATATTAGCCAGCTGGTCTGCACTAATGAGAACTCAAATGATCACTTCTGGGAGATCGTTTTCTCCTGTTACTGAAATAACGCCATCAGGGCATTCACAGAGCTGTCATCTTTATTTCCTTCTAAAAATAGTACAAAAAGGAGAATGTTATCCTCATCCTTGGAAGAATCCATTACCTTATCAAGTAATTTGGATGTTAATTTATGTTTGGATAAGACTTTTTTTTAATCCATTGTCCCTTGGCAAACTATCTCTTTAGACCTGATGAATTATAATTTGACTACAAAACTGACTACTGATGATCTGTTAGTATCAGAAACCATTTAAAAAATGTTGACTATAAGATGATATGGTATAACTATGGTTCCTACTGAGTTACTGAATCAAGATAACTTATTGGGCATGCAAGAGAGTAAAAGATCTCATAAACAGCTCAAACTTCACACAAGTGATAGTTCTTTGGATTTTGAATTAGACTTACAAAGTCGTCCAGAAACTATATGTGCAAATGATCTTGGAAACCACTTGCCATTGTACATATGCTCAATATCTGATTGTTCAGAAGTATCCTCTAATGTTGCATTTTATACCATTTCAGCAACTCGGTCACTTCCAGCACAGACCTCTTTCCCCACACCTGTACATATGCCAGATTGGACATATTATACAGATGATCTGACTTTACCATCTGATTTAAAAGAAGAGTTCAGAGCTTCTTCAGAGTGGTCCAGATAGGAGCTTCAGCCCAGTGTGCATGATTGGGAATCTTCTGCTGCAGGCCGGAGGCTTCCCATCACCACATCTCTTACTTTGTCTTCACTGGAGTCCATTCCAGCACCTCATCCGCTGATGGTTTCTGGTGAGTTTCTCAGTTTCAATTCAGTAAACTTTTAGAAATGACTTTCTTTTCTACAGGGAAGAAAGAGCCTGTTGTGGTCACCAGGTGCTCTAAACAGCCTCTTTGTAATCAGGGCAGCCGCCAGTCAATGGAGATGGCACCTGCTGTTGTACCTGACACAGATGGTTATTCTTTATGCGCTGCCACAAAGGCTACCAGATCAATAGAGGAGTATGTGTGAGACAGCTACACTGCTGGCAAGCAATCAGAAACTGAACTAGTTCAATTCATTACAATGGATCTTTCAAAGTTTTGGAATAACTTTTATTATTCTCATTTCTTGAAATAGCTTCTTTGTCAGGTTGAACACAATATAACATACACTTTCTAACATTTTCTTCAGTGCTGGTATTTTCTTTCTTTCCTTTTTTTAAACTGGAAAGATGAAGAAATCAAGGAAACTTGATTGGATTTTCCCATCCTACATAATGTGGTTTATCATTTCTTAATGCAAAGCTGAGATACTTCCATCATATGGAATATAAATTAAAAGTGTTCTTTATTTAACAAAAATGCTACATAAATATTGAAACAAAATAATAGCCCATGTATCAATTTGAATTCAAAGTCTTGAAATAGTTAATGAAAAGCCACTTTTCTTAGATAACTGTTCCTACTTTAAAGCACTTTGGAAGTTACTAATCTCCTCTACCCTTGCAATTACTATCAAATTGGGAAGCATACAAAAATTTTTTTAAAAAATACTTTAATGAATTGTAGTTAGCAGAGAGGATTTTTTTTTGTTGTTAAAGAAGTTCTAGCTTATGGAATTTCAAGTGTAATTATGTCAGTGAAGTTAATTTTCATTCAATAAGAAATTGGTTTTGCATGTGTACATATGTGGTTGTGTGTTTATGCTTCAGAAAAAACACATAATATCAATCTTGTAAGTTTTTAGGTGTGTAATTCATGGCTGGCAACTCAGTAATATGAAAGATGAAATTATTATATTTGGTGTGTTCAAGATGATATGATTTTCTTTACAAAGTTTCTAAAAAATACGTAAGTTGAATTACAAATTTAAATGAAGAAGTATTTTCCTTGTACTTTTACAAGATAGCATTTTGGTATAACTGGTATGCCTCATCGGCAATACATCACTCGTCACATATAAGATTCTTAGTAAATGCAGCTGAGTACACCTTCTACTCTCATATAATTAGCACCGTAGTCATCCCTTGGAAATAATCAGACACAAATTCTGATTTCCAAGAAATCAAATCCTGGGTTTGTCCTTTATGAACAAAGCTTTGTCACATTCCATTTTCCCCATCCCCTCACTCCAACTACAAACACTGATGATTTTGAGCTCCTCCAGCTCTCCCAGTCTCTGCCCAGTTTCATTTCCCTTCCTAATCATTTTAGATATGTTAATCATTTATAAGGCACTTGTCATTTTCCTATATGTCCACCCACTGTGTTGGTCAGGGCCAAATCAGGCAATAGATAGCACACTCCAGTTGAATATTTGGGGAGAGTTTATTAGAGAAATTATATTGCAAAGGCATGGGTAAAATTTAAGGAAAACAGAGATTGTATAGTTCTGGAGACACTGGTAACAGAGGAATGTCATTATTACCCCTAGGCCTAAATTAGGGACAAAGGAAAGAACAGTTACCAAAAGCCAGAACCTAAGGAGGAAAGCTGTCAGTTTCCAGCAGTTATAGCCTTTAGCAAGATGACACAGGCAATCCAAGGCAAACCAACCAGGAGGAGACCAGGAGATACATACCCAATCTCACTTTCCTCTTATCTCCCGGACTTCTAGTGGTGCTTTCCATTGGCCAATCTCATTCAGTAGCTGGAAATAATCTTTAAAAACACATTTGGTCTAATCTCTCCCTGTAAAAAAAAAAATCAGGGTAGGCCATAGTAGAATGGTCTGTAGTGCTAAAATCTTAATTAGATTCCATGACACTCCCAGAATATAAAACATGTATATAATCGAGTAAGAGTCCCCTTGTATGTTTCTAAAGTGAACCATTAGGTGCTATTATTTCTGCCCTACATGCTACTTCCATACTAAAATATGTAAAATATAGAAAGCCTGTAAGTCTGAGCTTCCTTGTTCTGGTGGATTCTTTATGTTGTGTTGGGTTGCTGAGAAAAAAATGACAATCTAAGCAACCTTTTGTGATGAGCAAAGTGAGGCATAATGGAACTACCTCTATCATGTTTCTTAAAGTTTTGTGTAGTTTTGAACTATATGATTGCTGGTTCTGTACTACAGTGATAGCTCTATTCAATTGGATCAAAATTATTTCTCTTGTTCATTTGTTGCTTTCAGTTTTATATCCCACATATAATGAAATCATATGGTTCTCAACATTTTGCATGATAGTCTCAAGATCCATCCATTTGTGGCAAATGGCAGTATTTCATCTGTTCTAATGGCCCAGTAACATTCCGTCGTATATACATACCACATCTTTATTGAATCATCTATCAAAGAATGCTTCAGTTTCCATATTTTGGCCAAGGTGAATAATGCTGCAGTGAACATAGGAGTACATATATCTTTACAGATAAGTGTCTTCAGATTTTTTTTGGTAGATATCCAGAAGCAACAAACAAACAAGACAAACAAAAACTCATAAACACAATCAATAGCTTGGTGGGAACCAGAGGGTAAGGAGGGAGGGGAGGTGGTAGATGAGGGTAAAAGGGATTGGATATATGGTGATGGAAGGAGAATTGACTTTGGGTGGTCAACACACAATGCACTATATAGATGATATATTATTGAGTTGTACACTTGATACCTATATAGTTTTAATAACCAATGTCACCCCAATAAATTTAATTAAAAATGTTTAATAAATTATCTTCCTTAGATATCCCTTAAGCCAAACCAGCCTTTGTGGTTTGGTTTAACTCATGAAGCAAGACATTTAAGAGAAAAAAGTTATTATTATCAAGAAGGAAAGAAAAAGAAAAGAAGGTGATGAATCAAAAAAAAAAAAAAAAAAGTTATTATTTTCCTATAGCAGTATGACTCTCTTTTTTTGTACCAGTTTTTGGAAAGGATATAAGAGAGAACAACCAGAGCTTCCTGATTCAAACATTCTGTAACAGCAATGGATAACAAAAATAGTACAAAATGAAAATTTTGTATGAGTTCCATTTATTCCATTTATAGTTGTAAAATTCTAAATTAAACTATAATCCAATATAATAATAATAAAATTCTAGTAAATGACAAAGAGATATTTTCACCAGGAATAAAAGGATGAGTCAAATTAACATATTTAATGTTATAATTTACTAGAAATAAGGTAAAAAGATGTTGACAATTTATAGTTTGCTGAAAGTATTTTTCTTTGTTTCTTAAGGGATTTACCTTATATCCAACTTTTTAATATTTATTACTTCAAAAAAAAAAAAGAAAACCCGAAAAACCAATATATAAATAGTTCACAACAATATTCGGTATCATTCTTAAAGTTGAAACAGAAGAGGTAGTTCCATTAAACTCATAGAGAAGTCAAAATGTTTTATGTGCACATATTTCTAACATACTGTTTGGAAAATCTAATGGGAAAATTAACCAAAAATACAAACCACTGCTGCTTAAAACTATACAGAACAAAGTTTAAAAGGTAAAGTTTATTGAATAACCATAAAAATAGATAGAGGTGTCCTTATTTGAGGTCTGAGATCTGTGAGCCCTTAATAGTACATAAACACTACATTTAAAAAAATAAAGCAATTTCAAGCAAGTTAAAATTAATAATATTTAGAACTTGATTAAGTCATTTTAAAGTGGAAGAGAATAGCCAGGGAAGTTTTGAATATGAATGGCAGTAGGGGAGTTTGTATGTTCATGTAATATATTAAAATAAATTTTGATAAAATATTATATTATTGCAAGGAGGCATATAAAGGGACATATTATAGAAAGTCCAGATATGCATGGTAAATATAAAATTACATAAAATTTGAAGTGATAAAGATTTAAATATTTATTAAATTGTGTTGATGCATTCTGTTATTTTGAAAACCCTTCCCCGATATCTTACAACAATAGAAATTCTCTAAGAGCTAACTAGATAAAATTGTAAAATGGAGCATTAAATATTCAAAATATTTAATATTTAGTTAATCTCTAAATAGAAACATTTAATCCCAAGGCTTGCGGTCTTTGGCCCGTGGGTAGGGCCATTGTATCTAATTCTGCTAAAATGAGGAATGACTTGCCTATTCATAGGGATAGTTCTTCTCAATTTTATTTATTATCATCAGTCACTTGTGCATAGGAAGTGAAAAAGAAAATATTTCTATCGCCTACCAAGTCTATTTATATTTGCAGCGTGTAGTTCAGTGTGACGAGTTGTCACTTTTATGAACATCAATCAGTAGTATTTTGAGATGCTATTTAATGTCAATAATTAAGATATTACTCAAACCGGTTGACAGTGTTATCATCTAAGTGTAACAGATTAGCATAACATGTGTTCTTTCTTAACAGCCATGTTTCACTTAGCAACACATTTTTTTGAGAATGCACCCTGTCCTGGTCTCTATTTATGGTGTGAGTGATATACTACTAAACAAAACAGATGCTTCCTGCCCTCTTAGAGCTTAAGTTCTAGTCGAGAGAGACAGATAGGAAACACTTAAGTATAATAAAGCTGTATTTCTACATAACCTGTTATATATAATAAAGTGTACAGTATAGTTCTACATATAGAGCGTGTATATATGTATACGTGTGTATGTGGGGGCTGACACATGTTCTGGGTTGATGGCTGAGAGACAACAGTGATCAGGTTTGATCTCTGAAGAAGCCAATTTAAAAGGAAATGAGAGCTGTGTAGATATAGGGAGGAAACCAATCCCACAAAGAGATGTTAAGTGGGTGTGTGTTTGCCATTTTCTTAGGACATGAGGGAAGCCACTGCAGTGGAGCAGATAAGCAAGAGGTAGACTCACAGAGAATGAAGTCAAGTAGATAGTAGGGT